TAATAAATTGTAAAGAAAAATAACAACTATAAATGATATGAATTCTTCTTCCCTGAAAGGAGTACATAACTACGAAAATTTCTTCTAAGAATTATAAAAACAGTAAATCTTTGAAGCAATTAAATAAATTGATATGTATTCTAAGAATTATAAAAACAGTAAATCTTTGAAGCAATTAAATAAATTGATATGTACTATTATGAGTTTAAACATACATGTATATTGAAACCACAAAGGCAGGTGCGTGGTGTCGTATTGCAGGTGGTTGAATTGAATTGTCACAAAAATGACGTAATTTGGTGTAGTACATTTATTCAAATGCAACGAATTTCTGATTGCAAACATTTTTGACATTATTGAAAGATAGATAGTATAGATAGTTTATCACTGAAAATTTAAATGTTATGAGGAAAAACAAAGTAAGGTGACAAATGAAAGAAGGAAAAAGTTTCATATCGTATTAAGATATATTGCTCTAAATCAATAAGAATTGAACTACCTTAATTCTATTTTAATGCCTTTTCTTTCTATACAAAATAGTTACTATTTCACATATACATGAATTCATGAGACAAATGATTAAGTAATAAGTTTACAATATTTATTTGGATGCTGTTGTTGTTTAAAGAAAAGCGAGAGGGTCAGACCATCCAAAAGTGTAGACAAAATTAGAGAGCTGGCCATAGCATTCGGGTGTATCATTTTGTGTAACTCTGAATAGAAATATAAAATTAGAAATATTGTGATACTAGGTGTCTGACAAGAACGGAAATAGAACCAATCTGTTTCAGTAAAAAAGATGCCCACTTTTAATCATCCCTAAGCAACAGCAAAGGTCTACTTTTTGGATCATCCCTGGTATGTCTTTGCATGTATTTGTATCAGAGTCTCACTGTATTCCGTAAGATTTACATTATCAATTAATATTTGCATAAAGCAAAATATACATGTATAATCAATGAAAGCTTGTGTCTTAATACTGTATTCTAAAAGATCACATTTACTGAATATTTATTGATATGTTTATTCATAGTTTCAAGAAGCATGTATATACACTGTACATTTATAATGCAATATTTCCATTATATTATATATCCCTTTCATGTTTGTAGTTGAAACTTTCTTCATTATTTTATCATCAAGTGTTAGGTGTGATTAAAATTTTGTTGAGGCTTCTTTAACATAGATATTTCCCTTCTTACTTATAAGAGTTTTTTTATTTTTTCATTTACTCGGGTTTTTTTCTCTATGTGTAATGAAAATGACTATCATGTCTCCACTGTTTTCATCATTAAACGGCCCGTATCCTGACAGTGACCATTGCAATTATTTCATCTTTTAAATATGCTTGCATTACAGCTTTTACTTTCATGATATCTTGGTCAGTTATATGTTTACAGTTACAACAGCTGTTTCCATTGGTTATGCCACCATAGAGTGACTCACATGTGGAGAGCTTAAATTAAACATTTGCGGGACTGCATCCGAGAAGTGTACGTTCCGATCATATTTTGCATTGTCATTTCTGTATACACTTTTATCCCTGCCTTTCATTTGTGAGTCTTAAAATGATGTATAACTTTACTATATTCACCTCTTTGTCAATTTTTCCTCTTACCTCAATGTCTGTCTGTATTCCTTTTTTGAAATAGTTTTTGTTTCTTCAGGAGAAAACTGTTATTCTTAGTAGAGGAATTCCTGTTTTGTTGTTTATGTCCAGATTTTTATCTGTATTTCGCCTTTTCTTTTTATATGTTAGACCCGTCTATAATGGTTAGATTCCTTCCAATTCTTTTATTTGTATCCTAATTGTCTCATAGTTGACACACCATTATTAATTTAATTTGGATTTGTTTTGCATTTGAATGGTTTGTGGATAGCTACAGGACGATATTCGGATAGCAAACTGATTTCAGAAAAAAATCCTTTTTAAATATAAACGATTGGTTTGCATTAACTCTAGTCATATTGCTTCACTATCTTTTTATGCGTTTAGTATTCATCTATTTTTGCTACGATATGACGAAGAGCGGATATTCCACTTTAATGATGACGAATTGTATGCTTCGGTTATAAACCTAGAAAAACCACATCCACCCGGATAACGTTTTTCGGAGAGTTTATATTGAATAAATGTTGAACGGGTCATACAAACGGTGTGACAGCTCTTGTGTAATATAGTAATAAGGCAATAAAATCTTCATGGATTATACTGGTTCTGCCCTGGCGGACGTTGATAATTATGATAAGATTTCTGAAGGAATCAGTAATTTATTAAAGAAAAATTAGCAGCAAATAAAAACAGGGAGGAACGTTTTGTTTTTGGCACTTTACCCTGCTTATCATGGCTATGCAATGGACTGTAATTTTGGGGACGAACCATCAATTCGACTTACAGTTTTCAAAAATTTCGAACTTATCTACATACTTTGAAGGGCACTCAACAGCACGGACTCTTTCACGAAGGCACGGGAAGTGTTTTGTCGGAAACTGTATAATGTTTATTTAGTTGGTAAACGACCAAAAAATATTCGCTGGTACGAACATTAGCGCCAAAATTATAATTTTGTTATCAATAGTAGTAAATATGTCAATTCATTAATTGAAACGTACCTCCTCCAGTGAGTCAATTCTGATACATTGAGATACAATTAAGATAAAAACATTCAAAGTTTCTGATATGATATTTTTTTTGTTATTATTACATTGAAAATCATCATTACCGGTTCGAAATATTAAAGAGTGCATAAATACTACTCTGTTTCAAGATTGTGCAGTTATACTACTAACTAAGGTACTTAATAGCCGCGTGAGGTTTGTTGTTACGGTGTTTGCTGTACAAGATTCACCCGTGCATTACTGTGGCCAAATTTATGTTTTCTTATAAGACACCAGTACATATTTATTTAAGAAAGCCGACTGTTTTTGTCATAAATGAGCTAAAATAGATATGTTTGAAGAAAAACAGCACTGTTTATTATAAATGCTATTTGTTCTTCTAATATAAAACATTCGTCTTTAACAGCACTACTTTATTCTGCTCGAAGCATTAGACAAAAACGCAACTGTTCTCACTTTTGCAATACAGGATTAATAATACACAATAAAAGAAATGAAAACTTGATTCATATGATCCTTAATCGCGAAAGTATCCTCTTTGTATAACACAATAAACACTTATTGATAATAAAACTAACATTATCTAAAAACACTTACAAATATAATTACGTAAGCAGGCAATAAATGCAATAAACACCATTTTAATGTGTAACATAATTCATACAATGGACAAGTAGAAACATATAATCATAAGATTATATATGTGCAGAGTGTACATAACGTTATAAAACTAAATCTGTATTTTATGTTCAAGAATTACAACGGCAAATCGAAGATTCAACACGGTATTGCATTTTTATAAAGTGAAATACAATTAAAAAATACAACCAACCAAAGGCTGCACTGGTCAATGCATCTTTTAAAATGTACTATGCTCATATTTTGGTAAAATACTTTAATTGTAGAAATCTTTTTGAAATTGAAATGAAGGAAAGTCGTACCTAATTTGTCTAATTGGAATAAAGGATGCACAAACGATGTTTGGGAAGCCGCATTCCATATAACTGGACAAGTCAATTTGGCCAATCATTTTAAAAATGCTGTAGTTGTTTTATTTAATGATACCATGTATTCATGCCGTATTTGCCTATAATGTTTAGAACTTGGCATATCTTCTCTATTTGTACTCAAAAGATGATTGTTTTACAGAAGAAAAAAAATAAGAAAGAAAGAAAAAAAATCAGAACAGAACAAACGTTTTATTAGTAGAGAGATTAAATTATAAATAACTCTTGATGTGTTCATGGAACAAAACTACCATCAGTCAAAAGGGGCAATTCGTTACTTTTTCTCTCTTAATATGATGTATTGAAGTTTCTTTTAATAAAATGTCTCTAATGGAAGTAGATGTATTACAATTGAGCTGCGTCATGACAAAACCAACATAATGGGTTTGCGACCAGCATGGATCCAGACCAGCCTGCGCCTCCGCGCAGTCTGATCAGGATCCATGCTGTTCGCTATCAGTTTCTCTACTTGTTATAGGGTTTGTAAGCGAACAGCATGGATCCTGATCAGACTGCGCGGATGCGCAGGCTGGTCTGGATCCATGCTGGTCGCAAACGCACTATGTTGGTTTTGTCGTGACGCGGCTCAATTATAAAACTGTAATTCGTTGGTTCTGATGTTTATGGCATGACGTTAAACTTTTTATTTTAACTGCAGGAGGACTGATTGCAGATGTGAATGATAAGGATGGCGATCGATGGCATAAATATACGAAGAACATAAAGAGATTTAAGGGTAGTATGCATAAATTTTATATTTGAAAAATAAAGAAAATTATTGTAGTCTCTTTTGAAATGTAAAATAAACATATTTTGAATACACACAGAGAATATACGTTACGTTTTAAGTTCTACACACTACCGGTAATCACAGTATTAAATACTGTCATGAAAACTAAACTCGCACTTTGTATAAGAATATACCAAGAAATAGGTAATGCAGTTTTCCAAATATACATTCATTTACTCAAATTACACATATTTAGAAAGAATTTACTAAATTTTAATACATTTCTGTAATAAAAGCATTTTATCCGAAGATGAGGCATAGTATATATTTGAATTATCCACTTAATTTTGCAATGTATTATAATCAATGTAATAAACCTTTTTGGACTTGGATTCAGAAAATGTCGCAAGTAGCTGGTATAATAGCATCGATGCACATATATGATATGATCATATGTTTCAATACATTTTATGATTATGCCCAGTTTTTTCGAAGATCACAAAGTATTATCTGGTGATGCTTCTTTTTTTATTAGAATTCGATGCGATCTCTAAATTCTTTAAGAACATATCTTATAAGTAAAGGAACCCTTGAAAAATGGCCATTCACAAAACATAACGAAATAAGATTGGAAGAAATAATTTAAAAAATGAAGTAAGTGATTCATTTTATATTTCAAAATATGACACGAATAACAAAAAATACACTGATATTTCATTAAGTTGCGTTTTTGTCATCCAATTATAGAGAAATAGTTCTGCAAGACTACATTTTCCATACATTTCAATTTTATTTATAAACGTGTTAATGTTAAAGCAAAACAGGTAAACACATCGTGTTAACTTTTCCTAAACGACCAGCATGTATATAGACACATTCTGAAGTGTTTCATGGTTCGGATTGGGAGTTCACATTGCATAACATTTAATTGTATAAGAAGAAATTTCATTGCTAAATAGTCCTAATTATTTTGAAAGTAATTATATCTAAGTTTTTCAATCTGATATACCACTTATTCATGCAGGGTTATTAGTCGGTTATTTGAGGAGATAGTGGCAATCACTAGTTTGTTAAATTAAGTCATCTATTTTTTTTTCCAAAAATGAACTACCAAAATATCAATGTTTGAAGTAAGTCACATTTTCATTATTATCAAATTGATCTTGCCAGAAAATCGACACTATATTGATGAACATTCATGTTGCTTACAGCTAGATAAATACTAGTATTTTGGATATACATTGAACATTCTAAACATTGTATCTGATTAGGTGAAGTTTATGTTATATCTCCTTTCCATTTCTATCTATTCCATTGAAAAGAAACGTCACCAGAAAAACTGAAAATAGAGAAAATTTGATTTTTTATTTTCAACTTGATTTAAAAAATGTATATTTATTTTTCACTTATATATGTTTTGAATATTTAACTTATTAAATCTATTCTATTTTTATTTATATTTTCGTAAAGACGAACAAACGCTACTGTTTCATCAGATCAAATTATTATACAATTTTGTACTTTTTGAGTGCTTGGCGACACTCAGTTTCCGTTATATATTTTTTACTTTATCATTAATTATATATATACTTTTTTTACTGATATATTATTTTCGTAAAGACAAATAAACGCTACCATATCATACTTTTATACTTTCGGAGTGTTTGACAAACTTTATATCTTTTGTTTCATACGATTATAACATGTAAATTAATAGGTTATATATGAGCCGCGTCACGACAAAAGCAACATAGTGCTATTGCGACCAGCATGGATCCAGACCAGCCTGCGCATCCGCGTTATCCTGATCAGACTGCGCGGATGCGCAGGCTGGTCTGAATCCATGCTGTTCGCTAACAAACCCTATAACAAGTAGAGAAACTGATAGCTTACAGCATGGATCCTGATCAGACTGCGCGGATGCGCAGGCTGGTCTGGATCCATGCGGGTCGCAAATGCACTATGTTGGTTTTGTCGTGACGCGGCTCATATTATACGAACCTAACGCTCCAAGCCCAGCTGCCATAGAGAATAAACCATGCCAGCCTATCATTGCCTTCAATGATGTTCCAAAAAGACTTCCGAGTATACTAACCACAGACTGAAAAAAATATAACCATAAACTGAAATAGAATATGTCAATCTCGATTACATTTTTAAATTTTTCAAACTGATAATTTTCGAACAGTATTCAAATTTTGCTGTCACGATTTAAAAAATGTTGTCGCGTCTTATAGTTGTTATTGTAGACTGGTTCATAAAGCAATGGAATCAAAGATGAAAAGGTAAACATTGCAGACTTGCTTTTATTGTGTCTCTACTGGCAGTTTTTTAATAAAGGGACACATTTACATGACCAATTATAAGGAATACAGCTTCCAAAACATATATAATTTAAACATTTCCTTATATAAATAAGATACATGCATATTCAGTGAGAATTCCCTAGATTTCAATAAAATATTACATTTTAACTATATACAAACTGTGTGGCGGAAATATAAACAGATATACAAACACAAAACAAACGTGCAACTAAAAGTTTTATGAGTAACAAACTAAAGTATCAAGTTTTACCAGCCCGGTATATATTATTCCATAGTTTATTGCCATATGTTGTGGTCCCAGCAGTTTTGCAAGTGTAGCCGGCATTATAGACCAAATACCACAGAAAAAGAAGTACAAGGCACAGATCCACACTAAGAAAAGATACTTTGGAAGATGCTCAGTAAGAATAAGTGTGGCCAGCATAATAACAAAACCTCCTGAGACGCATCTCACAGCAACCTGACAAATAATAATACCTTATAATTGTTACTGTAACAATATAACATATGCTGTTTAACTATGCAGACATTTTCACCCTTTTGTTACGAATAATTCAAATGAAAACGCTGCTGTTTAAGTTTTATAAATAGTACAATAATGTTTATCAAAACACGGCAACATTTGTTCTAAAATAACATAGACCCAACTTGTCTATAAATTCCTTTGTAACGTATTCAGCATCCAAAACAAAATATCAAAAAGGAGTTTGTAATTAAATGCAATACTCTTCTTAGGCCATTTTATTAAAACTTATGATCTAATCATCGTGTTGAATAATTGATAATGATAATGAAACTGCAACGAACAAAGATTGTATACATCTAATCCGTTTCATACTTGTAATAAGCATGAATAAACTTCAATTGTGAACAGTGATTGTTAGTCATTTGAATCGACAATTTTTTTTTAAAAAAGGATTATCTAACTCACTCTAAACCCTGTTCTGTCCATAACTGCTCCCCATATTGGACGACCAATACAGTTAAAAATGGCCGCGAGCGAGCCTGTGAGTGCCAGGAAATGGTCGTCTGCTATAAACGTCTGCCCATAAGCCTACAATCATTATTTGATATCATTATTTAGTTGAACCATTACATGACAGAGATAATCTGATGTAAAGACATTTTGAATAAGTTTTTTCTTGTTTGCCTATTTGTGTATTTGTGCGTAAACGTGTGTGCGTGTGCGTGCACATTTTAAATATTTTTAAAAGTAGAACACAGTATTGAAAGTATCATTAGATCTCGCCCTCTGGCTTTGTAAAACACATGCAGATAAATTGTGTTGTTTTGAAATGAAATTGTTATAGTAAATTAGATACATATTGATTTGCTTAATATAAAAAACAACCTTTAATATTTTATTATAATACAAAATCAAGAAACCAAGTAACAAAAGATTTGTATGTGTAACACAGAACACTCGCTGTAATAATTTTTGACAAATTTTCAGGACATTAAGACGTATATGTTAATGAGAACATCCTTACATACAAGTATAAGATTAAGAAAAAACCTACACAGAGAAAAACAGAATCAAGAAACAAGGTATGGCACAAGATCACAGTTATTTGCCCTCGGTTGCAACAAAATGGAAGTAGTAACTAAAGAAATAGTACCTATGTTTGATGCGGAATAAATATGAAAGACATTGCAATGGATTATCTGACACAAGAGTAATGAAATGATCGATAAATGAATTTTGAAACAATTTGAATGTTAACATATGCCTATTATGATCATTTTTGACAGGGATGCTTTGTCTGTTTACAGCCGCCATGACAGTGATTCTTCATACGCACTTCGTAAAGGTGAAACTTAAGAAAAAGGTAGCCGGTCGACCCTTCATTTAAATTACACATTATTTTTGTCTCTCGGATAGTTCTACAATGTAAATGATTTTTGTTCGTAACTTTTAGAAAATTGCATTTTCACTAGAACATACAATAACAATAACTGTGACCGTACAAAAAGCAACCGGAAAACCTCGTAGACTTTTCATAATAACGCGAAGATTGACGGAAAGGGTCGAAAAGCTGCGATTTAAAGAAAGCCATTTAATCCTTAACCATACCTTATATAGGCCATTTATAAACTGCATGCCACCGTTCATAAGCATTATAGTCAACCATACTACGTAGAAACTGCGACACCTCAATGCAAACTTTATGGCCTCGATTATCCCAAGTTCTTCAGGAACGCTTATACATGGGACAGAAATTCAACAAAATGTACAATGCAATTCAATTAATTTATACTAATGTGACACATTGTTAGTAACAACTACAGTAACTTACAAAATAGTATCACCTATTGGACTTGAAGATATTCTATTATGGTAAGTTAAAAAAAAAGTTTACTTTATAAATAAAAAAAACAAACTATTCCAGTGTAATTCAGGAAATTCTACACTTTCTTTATAAAGATCTTATGTATGATTTATTCCATTTTTCTCATATGACTAATATCCCTAATACTTGTTTTCATTTCAAGAATTTACCTTAATCAGGCTAAGTATCTTAAATGGATTGTCCATCTTTCATCAATCTGGACAAAAACCATCTATCATTTTTTTGAGGAAAATTTCAAAATATTAACTGACTGAATAGTGAACAGTGCAGGCCATAATTATACAGTAACGGATGTTTCTAGTGATCTTGGTCTGCATTGGTCGCATAAGTTAATACAATTGACATCATTACGCTTCGGGATAAACTATATTGTTACTAATTATATACTTTTAACTTGTGCTATGTTTAATATATTACCTGACATCTTCCTCATTCTTTTTACTTGCTGCTTTTTCACCATTGGGCAAACCGGCGTTTTCACCATTGGGCACATTTGCGTTTTTCTCAGAATCAACTTTAACGTTTTCAACGCCAACATATCCAAAATTGTCATAATCTTCAGCCTGTTTTTTAACATTTGAATCAATGTGTTGTGGACTATCTTCGCTGGTTTTATACCATTTTAGTTCGACACATGGCTTTCCAACGCTTTCTTTATTGCTATTCACCATATGTAAAGGATCCTAAACATAGAACACGTACACAGAAAAAACATATGATCAATACATGGTGGTAATATGAAAGCAGAATACAGGTACTTTAACTCTTCAGTACACGTGTGGATTTTTATTTCACGGATACCGGTATTATCCTAATCATAATTCACTTCTATATGGACATCTTCAATACTTTGTATTTAAAAAATGTTAGTAAACATTTGATGTTTCAACCAGCCATGGATGCAATTTGATATATCTATTGCAACTAACATGTGCATCTTCGTGTCTTTGAAAGCAAATTTATTACATGAATATCATTATTGAACGAAGACGCTGCTGTCAGTCAAGCAAGGATTGATAGTTTATTTTGTTAGAATGCCTCGATGAAAAGATATAAACTTAGTATTGAATTGAACACACAAAATAGGATCATCTCACCTGTGATGAAGTAATTGGTGGGTCTGAAATGCATGCAATACCAATAAGCTGCAAGGCAAAATAACTTGCACTGAGGATCAGAAAACATGTCGGCACTCTATCTAGCAGCTCTGGCTGTGTGAAATACCTTTTGAGAAAGAAACAAGTTGACTGCCTTTAAACGATGCGATATTCTCCACATGAAATAAAACTGAAAACAATCAAAATATATTTTCCTATGGCTTTGCTGTTGTGCAGAATATAATTGTTAAAATGGCGGTTTGGCAGAAGCAATACTGGTCTTGTGTTAGGGTTGCGTGCTCAATACATACAGAGGTCACGAATCATATTACAGCAACAATCAGTAGTCTAACAGGTTTTATTTATAGGTAATATAAAGTATATACAGTCTGATTTTATGCATAAATTACACATTGAAGACTATCTATACTTTTTATAAACAAGCATTAGCACTATTTTCTCTAAACGCAGTCAAATATATTTAAACTTGGTCCTCAATAAATGAATGTGATTGGAAAGACCCTGGCATTTATAATTCTATGAAAAAAGTTGTACTATACCATTCTTTACTAATTTGTTCCTAAGAAACAGGACGTTGGTATTGATACAATGTTGGTGCGTTTAAGAATTTGTTGTAAACATGCAACACAAAGTACTTTAGTCTGTGAACTACTTTTTCGTCCATTGATAAAACCTAAATTAGTATTTTTCTCACAGTCTATTTCGCATAAATTATCATCATAGCGTGTCTTTGTGGATAAACATCATCCATGCCATGCCTTGAAAAGTAGGCCTTCTGCTTAATTAGTTAGACTTTAAAAAGAAACAAATCAAATGTCTTAAACTGCCACAGTCTCCTATATGTCGCTCCTTTTGAGCTGTTTAAATTGCTGTTTTCTTTATGAGCATCTAACTATTGCGACATTCTGACTTACACCGTATGATACAGTAAACATCATGCACAATCGCAGATCTAGTCTGTTACTGATAAACAATATGCTTATCTTCCGCGATGCTCAAATAATAAAATTGCAACATCACAGAGTAACGTTACCTTGACCTTTCTGCTTACCTCCCACCATCCGCCGTGATCAAATCTGGAGACAGATTATCCGGGTTTATATAACCTGTTATAACTTGGTTGAAGATTAAAGAACCTCCTCCAGTCCCACTAACAATAATACCGGCAGCCAATGTTGAATGTTCTGGTAACCACTGCGTGTAAAAAAACATTTGAGCCGCGCTATGACAAAACCAACGTAACGCACAGTCTGGTCTGGATCCATGCTGGTCGCAAACCCATTTTTTGGTTTTTTCATGAACGCTCTTTTTTTATTTATTTGGAGATTTCCAAATTTTTCATAAAGGCAATGAAAAAAAAAAAAATGTTTCATTTTTTTTTCGAATTTTTCATTATTTTTAATATGATTACAGAAGCATTTTAAGGTATAACCACCCAAACGGGAAATATTAGGAACTGGACAATTGACTACATATGTAAGATATATTTATGCCTTAAAGGATATCTGCATGCAAAATTTATACAAACTTTACCATACATGAATCAAGTTATGGCCATTTTTCTAAACTTAAGCTCGGATGTTAGAAGGGTCCTTTTTCAGAAGTGGAAAAGAAGGTTTGAGATTTTTTTTTAAGAGTTTGCAATTGAACTTGAATTTTTGGATATCTAAAGAAGAAATATCACATAGCCATTACCTAAACAAGACCTTTGTTATTTTCTGTTTAATAAAAAATCAAAATAAACAAATCATGGAGCTGACGTCCAAAAAGTCCGGCATATGTATGTAATCGCATAACAAACACTACGCTAAATCTGAGCTTAAAACCACTAAATTAAACTACACGAAGTAGGTTTAGAACATTTGTTTGCATTAATGAGCATGGTTAAAAGTTATTTTTACAGTAATTGTAAATTGAATCGTGATGGCACACTTCATGCGACCTTTAGATATATTTTGTATGTAGAAACTATATCAAACTAGTCTTGAAATTTATTTGATGTCAAACTTTTAGAATTTCATTGTTGCAATTTTGTTGAGTCAGCTCAAACTTCTTAGTCTTTATATTCTGGGCTATAATTGAATACTGTTAATATAATATAATATAATATAGTATGATATGATATGATATGATATAATATTATCGCATCGCATCACATTATACAAATGTATCATGTTAATAAAAAATACAGTTTCTTTTGTTTTGATTTCAATATGTACATGGAAATTCAAAGCATTGTTTAACGTAACGCATATTTGTTCCTTAAGTTTAATGTTGCAAGCATTATTATTATACATGTTTTCATTATTCGATATAAGTAATAGACGTAAAAGAAATTAGTGTCACAAACGTTTACCTTGTGGAGCTTAAAAAAGATAACATAATCTCATTTTAATTAAAAAAAGTATAAAACGTGATCATCATAATAAAGAAATATCTAATCTGTATAACAATGAAAGATTTTAACAATTTTATTTCAATTATCAGTACATGTACTTTTAACTGATTAATATTTATTTGTAAAAGATATAAATTTCAAGAAATGGAGAGGAATAAAAAAGGCACACGTCATTTAAATATTGCCATATAAAAATAATTTTCAAAAGGAATAATAGCTTTATATCATAGCTTATTTTTAAAGTATGATGGCCCCTTCTTTTTATTTTTTCACATCACCTGACAACAATTCTTACCTTTATCGCCGTTTGAACGGGCGTTCCATAGGTCAACTTGTGCCCAAGGTAGCCTGTGAGTCCATATGTGAACACAACAGCAATAAACGAATGATTTACACTGAAGTAATTGGCACCAATTGAACCGCTGGATGAAGAACAAAAGACAAAGAAATGATGAATTTATAGGTTTATACATAATTCATTTTAGTTGGAATGTGTGTGAAGCTATACACTAATAGACACACTTTTGAATCGGTTTCTGGAACCAACCAGTACTGAGCAATGAGTGTAAAGTTCTTGCTCAAGGAAACAAGGACTTGCCCCTGACGGTGTTTGAACCCATTCATGGATGAATTTATCTCTTTACATACATTACATAGAATACAACTATACTTAGTTTTACATTCTATTAATGAGCACATAACATATAGCGATTAGACGGTTGTAATCTCAATAAATATATAATATTATATTTTCTTTTTTACTTTATTGTAAAGCAGATACCCTGCTGTTGATAAAATGAATCGTGTTATCATGTTAACCATTCGATTAAAGGGACTCAACTGAGTTCAATTTGAGATTAATGTTCAATTTGATGTAGGTCTAGACCAATAACTTGTGTTCAAAATTTCATATCATTCCCTTACTCCGTTTTTCCACAATAACTATTCTATTTCTGAAAAATGACCGACAATGAAAAGCATTGCAACGCTTTTCATTCAAATCCAGCAAAGAATAGCACCAAAATACGATTTTCAATTTAAAACAACAAAAAACAAAAACAAAACATTTTACTCGTCTTTCTTAAATTTATAAAATTTCCCCTGAACATATGTGTTGTACATTTTATACGCCAAACCGCACCTTTGACAATCCAAAGCAATACGAATTTTGTGATTGTTTGTTCCAAAAATCTCTTACAAGTTTGCCAAAAGAAAAAGTAGACTAAGCTATACCCTAATACGCGGACATGTAGTAGATAATTAATTAATACAGACGTCGTTCCGATTTCCATACCAGATAAGTTATTATACTTGGTCTTATTTTTTGGAAACGAAATAGAAAGTGAACAATTCTAAAGATTGCATCCAACACGCCCCTGCATCATTTTTATAAATTGATTGAATGTAATGTTTAACACAAATCTTACATGTGAAAACACATATGTATACTCACCAGAACACAACCGACCCTATAAGAGTTGCAATCCTTGCACCAAATAAATGCGCAAATATGCCACCAACAGTCAAACCAACACAATTTCCGACGGTACCGGCGGCATTTATCCACAAACTATCCACATTTCTGATCTCCGTGTCGTCTGTCCGGTTACGTATGTAAGAAATAAAATATGGCGCAAAGTTACCTTTAAAGAGAAAAATATAAATGTGAAGATGTTAAAAATTTTCAGGTATATAGTACTTTCCAGTATATAAAACTTCTTTCAGGTAATAAAAATTTCTCGTACAGCTGTCACAAATCGATCTTCAGAGAACCACCGGTGTATCGTTATACCTAATTTTTTGTTATCACAGCACAATTTGTCGACTGTTTACTGTAACATGATTGAATGTGTTATTTCAAGGATATGAACATTTTATTTTACTTAACAACATTTCATAAAGATTTACAACCTTACTGAATAATAAAAATGCTAAAACGTGTCATGATTAGGCGCAAGAAACACACTGGCAGTAACGAATGTTATTATAAGAATTCTAGGACATCTCCAGAGTTATCACAAGAACTCCAGGACAAAATCGGTAAATTTGTTAGCCGGGGCTTTATGTTTGTAATTTTGCAGTATAATTAGGTAATTATGTATGGCAAGGACGAAGACCAGAAATAAACTGGTCAGTACTTGCGAATTGGCAAATTATTTGAGATTTTGCCCAAAACTACCAAATTTTAAGCAAGAGGCGATGAAAAATGGACTATGAATTAGTTTTTGACACATAATACAAGGTGTTAGGCCAGCTTAACAATATATGGTTAATTAAGCACATAAAACTCACTTTTTGAAGATGAAAATAATCATTTTTGACGAGTGTTTTTGTAGTATATACAAATGTTTTTCGGTGAACTCCGTGACAGTTATCATAAGAACTCTTGACAAGTTATCATACGAACTCCATCCTTCGTGTAACAGTTCCTCTCCCGTGAATTAAAGTCAAAAAATGGAAAACTTTTCATGACGAGTTCATAAGTTCACTTCCTAGTTTTCCAAAACAGATGAAATTCATCATTTACATAACGTAAGTATCCTATGTCCAAACATAGATTAAATTAAACTTGAAAGCATTAAGAAATGTGTGCATGTATATCATTACCAGCCCTTTTGACTGTCAAAGTCAGATCTTGAATATTCGACAGAGAAATACAATTTTTTTTGCAGACTAAAATTAACTTTTTCTTAAAATGCACCAACCATATATTATATAAGATAAACATATTATGCATGATGTATGATACAAAAATGTTCATGCAATACCACTTAAACAAATAACAAGTACGTACATATTTCATTTATAATTACACATGATATGAAACATGCGGCTGTTGGTAGTGAAACAAACTATTTAAATGATAAAAACAATGCGGTAGATGGTAGTGAAGCAAACAATTTACATAATAAAAACCATCATTTCAAGCACAGAGAGGCTAAACAATTTTCTACAAAAAATTAACATAAAATCAAGATGAATATGTTCTACAATTTCTGCTATAACAAAATAATTACTCAACGTTGCTTTTTTGTGCTTCTTAAAGCATTACGTCTCCACATCTATGGTTATTTTCATGATTAAAAATATTTAAAAGTAAAATACTGTGAAGTAAACAAAGAAAGTAACTCACTAATTGCAAAGGGCTTTCAAAAGCCAAGTTAATTACCAAAAAGATGTAAAAATATGCAAAAACGTCCTAATTGCGTAAATCACGCAGTAGAAAAATTGTGTTAAATACTGCTAAATCAGTCCTCAATTGACATAACATGTTCATTATTACATGAATCTTGAACCTTTCTATTTTTCCCTATATATTGGAACATTTTTCTAAAGTTTAAAGTTTAATTCGTGCATTATTTTGGTTCATCTGGAGGTATGTAGCTTTGACAAAGACTTAATAATTGTGACATATACATGTATTACTCATATTTGTGAAATATACATGTATTATTAACATTTATCTTTAAAATCAAGTTAAAGCAAAAATTGCAAAAAAGTTAAAACAACAACGACAAAATGAGTTCATTTCATTAAAACAAGGTAATGATCATGATGATACTATATGAATTCTTTTCATGATCTGACACTAATTAAAAAAAGAAAATACTATCAAGCAGTTTAAACTCACCGAATGTGTACATAGCCCCTAAAGCTAGATGCACCAAAAATCCGCCGAACAAAACTAAAGCCGTTCTTAACGTACATGTTTCACAGTAATTTCTCCCTTCAAAACTCATATTTCACCTGTCCTTAACCGTTTAAAACATATCAACGTAAACAGATTATGGGATGTACATATACTATCTTGTTTGCCTATTTTATTAGGCCAACTAAAATGAATTAGGTTTATTAAATCTGTACTATTTGTTTCTTCAACTATAAATACAGATGCATCCCCCGTTTCATCCATTATATATTTTTCGAGAGAAATCCTATATGTTTTCCGTGTATTATTGCAGATTAAAAACTTTACGCAATAAAAGTGAGACTTACAAAATTGTACAAATACCATTTCACAGACATCAATAATTTTTTTTAAATATTCATATGTTAATAGAAAACAGACAGTATACATTAACGGTGTGCTGTCAAAGCCGGTCACACTTAATTTTAGTGTTCCACAGGGGTCCGTTTTAGGGCCAAAATTCTATACTATGTACACTAAACCACTTGGTGCCATTTGCAAAGATCACGGACTGCAATACCATCTCTACGCCGATGACTCACAGCTGTATCTATCTTTCAAACCATTAGATGACATTTCTAAGGAAGAAACATTACAACGCATTCAAGCGTGTCTCCGAGACATAATATCATGGATGAATGAAAACATGCTTAAACTAAATACTGATAAAACAGAAGTCATCATGTTCTCTTCTCCGTATAACTCCAAACACATTGAAGATCTATCGATAACCGTGGGTGACTCTAAAATAAACAAATCGGTCAATGTTAGAAATTTAGGTGCCATCTTTGATTCAAACATGAACATGGAAGATCACATCAATTCGGTATGCAGATCATGTTATGATCAGCTTAGACAAATAGGAAGAATTCGAAAATATCTGACAATTGATGCATCTAAACAACTTGTCACTTCATTGGTCATTTCGCGCCTAGATTACTGCAATGCATTATTGTATGGAGTACCTCAAACATTAATAAACAAACTGCAGATTGTTCAAAATACAGCTGCCCGCATCATCTCCAGAACTTCACGGTACGATCATATTACACCTGTACTTAAAGAATTACATTGGCTTCCGGTGCAATACAGAATCCAGTTTAAAATTTTAACACATACCTACAAAGCTTTAAATGGAAAATCGCCGGAATATATGGAAGAAATGTTATGTGTTTATAAACCACGAAGGAATCTACGATCTCAGAACAAAGCACTTACTTTAGTGGTACCAACGAGTAAAACTGTAACCTTTGGCGACCGACGATTTGAATATGCAGCTCCGAAACTGTGGAACGATCTGCCTTCTGGTGTGAGAGACTCGAGCTCATTGTGTTCTTTTAAACGTGCACTTAAAACACACTATTTCAAACAAGCCTATGTTTTATCGTGAATAATCTGAGACAGTGATTTTAAAAAAACTGTGTGACTACTGTGTGATATCAACCATAATTTTACAATTTGTTTTAATTCTGCTAATATTTTTTAAGACGGTTACAAATAATTAAGGTGTTGATTATAAATTACATTATTTCTAATTTGGTGTTTTAGAAATTTCGCTAGAATATTTTATCGTATGTTGTCGATATTCAATTATTTTAATTCTAAACGACTAAGTTAATACCACATTTTAATTGATTGTTTCATATTCTTGTTCTTAGTATGTCGTAGATTTATTATGTGAATGCTGTTTTAGTATTTTAAATTGTATTGCTGTAATTAGTTATTAGTTTTTATATCATTGTAAAACGGTAAATACCACATTTTAATTGATTGTCTCATATTCTTGTTCTTATTATGTCGTAGATTTATTATGTGAATGCTGTTTTAGTTTTTAAATTGTACTGCTGTAATTAGTTATTAGTTTATATCATTGTAAAGCGCCTTTGAACATGTATATGAAAAGGGCGCTATATAAGTTTGGTAAATAATAATAATAATAATATGTTAAGTTTAATAAGTAATTGATCAGTTTATTTTCAAAATACACAAGGTCATATTGCAGGTGAATTTATTCACTGTATATGGTAAGACTGTGAACAAAATAAATATGAAAAACATAATTGAAATAACGGAGGAGGTTTATTTTAGCCAAATTTTCAGCCTAATAACGTATGCTTTAACTATATTTTTTTTGGAAACCCCATTTCAAGAAATCATTTACGTAAGGAATCTTACTTTTTATTCATAAGAACATTCAAAGTTAAAGTAGCTTCATATGTGTGGAAGAAAAAACTTTAGCATTATAATAATCATGATGATAGATAAAGGCATAGGTTATTTCTTTCTTTCTTTTGTACTAATAAGGATTGATATTTTAAAATAAATAAGCGATCGAGCGCTTGTCATTGACTTTTATTTTGTTTTGTTCGTTGTGGAATTCCCATTGCTATTTGCGTTTTGTGTAACTCTAACGATTCAAAAAAAGCATATACTCATGAGTTAAAATACACGTGTAATATCAAATGTAGGTTAAATATAAATTGAGACATTCATTTTATTTAAGCCTAATTTGCTTACGAGTACATACACGTTAATAATATTTTGGAATCAAGACATATGCTATAAAATAAAACTTCTTTTTTTGCACATGATATTTAACAAACAGGTTACATGGCTTTTCAACGACTAACTCAACATTTCCAAGTTTTGTGACTACTTCGCTGAAAGAAAACTTCCATATGGTTTAATTGAAAGACAAAAGGCATTTTAGATAAATAATGTGCTTACTTCCCTGCCTGGACAAAGATGTTTCTAAAACAGAAATTAATATCAGGAATTTTTAACATAATTATGTACTTATAATAACACAGTCTTTATACACTATATATTAATAATAAAATGAGTTAATCTACATGTTTAATATAACATATATGTTTAATTATATTGGAAACATTCATATTTATTTAAACCTAATTTGTTGTACTTAAATACTTCACTTCCAACAAGGACAAATGATATTAAATTTTATTATACTTCATACGATGCGTAAAAGGCACATTATGTCTAAGAAACTTCTGAAGAAAGGGGAAAGGGCAAACATGAATTTTCTAATATTGTTTAAATGTTGGTTTTAGCATATAAGATGCTTGTTACATGACAAAAAAGCGATAAAATGTGAAATTATTTATCATAGAAGTAGCAAAATGTATTTTGACTTCTATACAAAATACTCATTCACTATAACTGTACTTATTGCTAAAAAGCAACGGATGAAAAAGATGGTTTCGTCAATTGGCCAATGAGAATCTATATGCACTATACAAGTACACTGAAATTAAACATCTTTTGAGAAATAAAAGAATTTTCCGAGGCCTTAAATGTTCAGCTTAAAGTGAAGCGACAAATTGTGTAAGAACCCGCAATATCACCCTCAGTGGGATGCGATATTTATATTATACTTTCTAAAACACCTATAACAGGTTTCAACCCTGTCTGACCCTAACTTAGTTCGGTCACCGGACTTTAATTCACACGAATTTTTTAAACTTTCAATTGCCGTAAACAAAGTTCGTTAGTTTAATGTAGACGAACAGAGTATTTTTACATGTTCGTGGTGTAATTTAAACATTCACTGTGGTTTGTACGATTGTTGTGCGTCAGGAATGTATTTAAGTTTATATCTTATGAATGCATGGGTGCTTTTCATCATGAACTGGTCGACAATCGAGAGTAAATTGAATTAAGCTGAAGTCACTTGACTTAACTAAACACTCTGTTACCATCAAGCCTCAATAAAGTAAAGATTGCAGACTCCAAAATGTAAACACTAATTCCGTAAACTAATTCGACACGTTAAATATATTTTTTTTCTACTTTTAAGACAATATGTTTATGCTGCTTTAATTTTAGCCTGTTTTTTACGATATGAGTTCAGTTGTACAGTCCATAATTTGTATACAAGGACAAGAGAACATTGTCTTTCCATTTGAAGAAAATGTAAGTAAAATGTTTTGTAACAAAGCCAGAAGTTTAAAATTGGCCATTTAGTGTAAAGCTGATGTATGTGAATGCTTTTGTGTATTTGTATTATTATTGACCACTCGCAAAATAAATCGTGTCATTCCGCAGTAAATCATGCGTCTTATTCAAAATCATATAAGACTCGAATTATAAAATAGGCCAGAACAGAAATGGACATGATAGATTAGAATACAATAGCATTATCCTCCGTATACAAACAACATACACGAAGTTATTTCAAATAAAGGGAAATAAAGGAATATAGTAACTGGCATAAAGTCTTGCACGCCTTATATCAAACAGTAATCTATATAAGTCTAATAATACATGTTATGCTCAACAGTAGCTCCTTTTGAAGGGTATATAAACGGTGCAAACGGCAACAAATACATGTAAAAATATGAGCAGATGCTGGTTCAGTTTTTATATCATTCTCTTCATGTTGAAGTTCTAAATATAGCCTTATTTTTAATTTCTGAAGATATTATGATAAATTATGTGGCATGTATCTGAAAATTAGCTTGAACAAAGTAAACTTCTCAAAGCAAATCTTATATTTGAAATGGAACAGTGTATTCTAAATAATCCACAGCAATATAACATTCATAAATTGTGAATGCTCTTGTTTATATCAAGCGCAAGTTATCATTTGTTTAAATTGGTAAATTAAACTTTTATTGCCAAAACAATCCCTGTTGAAAAGATTGCCAAAAAAAACAACAAACAAACAATAAAAAAAAAACAACTGCGTCGTATCACAAAATTTTCACAGCATCGTATCGTTACGTTTTTTTTAAATAAACATATGTTTTTTATGAAATTTTAGTAAATGATACAAAATTATATTGTGAAGTTTATCATTAACCCTGAAACGTGTATATGCTTGATTTGAAAGAAAACACGATGGATAAAGTAAAATGAACTGCGTCTTATCCACATAACTGCATAAAAATTCTGGCCCGCTACGAGTTGTAAGTTCGATATAAATATTGTTTTACCAAATCGTCCTGTAAGCAACGTATACCAAATGAAGCGACGAATTGTGGAGCGTCGTATTAATTCATGTTATGTGGGTTTCAGTCATTTTCAACAAAATGAATAATAAAAAAAATATACACTTTTTTCATTAAAAAATGGCAGCATTTGTTTTCAAATTGTAGTATACGACGCATTTTAGATTTCCAGGCCTATTTGTATCCAAATATGACATAACCGGAATCACAGAAAA